TAAAAGAACGTGTGTTTGGGGGGGGGGTCCCTCCGGGGGAGCAGGGCCGGTGGCCGCGGGCCCGGGGGAGCCCTGTGTCCCTCTCCCTCGGTGCAGACATGCAGGTATTTTATAAAAGAAAGGTGGATCGGGGACCGGGGCCGTGGAGGCAGCTCCGCTCGAGACGGCATCTTCCCTCGGGACCGTTTAAAAAAAAGTGGAGCCGGGCCAGAGGGTCACGGGAAGCCGTCGTCGTCGTCCTCTGCCATCTCCTTGGCAAACTCCAGGTCCTGCTGCTCGCGCTCCCGGCGCTCCTGGAAGGCAAAGGCAGGAGCTGGGGGTGTTTCAAGGGACAGGAGCCGGCCCGGGTGTCCCTTGGCGCCTGCGGGGCTGCAGCGGGATCTTCCACCCGAGGGCGAGAGGCAGGGATGAGATCTCACCTCTGCAGATTCCAAGTCCTTGTTGTAGGATTTGGGTGGAAACCTCATCGCCTGGAGAGAAACAAGGGAGACGAGAAGCTGTGAGCAGAGAGCGCCCTCCACTCTGCCCCGCTGTCCCCTTCTGCCAGCCACAAAGTCACCGCGAGGGTCGAGATGGGAATTGCCACCGGCGGGGCCGGAGCCGGGAAGGCCGCGGGCGCTCACCTTGACCGACATGTTGTGGATGTCCAGGCAGAAGGAGATGCGCTGGTGGAACGCCAGCTGCGGCTCCCGCGTCGAGTAGATGTCGATCATCTCCTTGGACTGCACGTAGCCCTTCTCGTGGTTGATGCTGGCCTCGATCACGCCGTCCCGGATGGCCTGCGAGGAGGGCGCGCGGTCGGAGCGGCCGCGGGCTCCGAGGCGGCCGGTTAGAGCCAGGGAATTGGCCGGGGGGACGGGAGTGCGGGATGCAGCGCGCAGGGACGGGATGCGGGGAGCCCGGGACGGGAGTGTGGGACGCAGGGATGGGACGCAGGGACCCCGGGATGGGAGTGTGGGAAGCAGCGCGCAGGGATGGGACACGGGGACCCCGGGACGGGAATGTGGGATGCAGCGCGCAGGGACAGGATGCGGGGACCCCGGGACGGGAGTGCGGGACGCAGCACGCAGGGACGGGACATGGGGACCCCGGGATGGGAGTGCGGGACGCAGTGTGCAGGGATGGGACGCGGGGACCCCGGGACGGCAGCGCTGCAGGAGCGGCCCGGCCACAGCAGGAGCTGCAGGTGGCTCTTGGGGCTGAGCAGTGACACGAGATCCCAAACTACCTTGGCTACAATGAACTCCGCGTCCTCCGGGCTGTCCAGCTGCAGCTTCTGGGCGATATCAGCCAGGGAGATGCGGGAATAGGAGAGGCTGATCATCCGGACACCTGGGACGAGGACAAGAGCTGAGCCCTCTCCTGCCGGGCAGCCACAGCCCCACGTGTACGAGGTGGCACCCGAGCCCGTGGCACCGGCTGTCACACGTCACACACCACGGCGTCCTACCTGTCTTGATGACGTTGTGCCTCAAGCGGATGATCAGGGTGTAGGTGCCATCGGCCTGGAACTTGTCCCCAAACTGGTCGAGGACCTGGTTGAACTTGGCCAGGTTCCCGGTCCTGACGGCTGGAGCAGGCAGATGAGGGAGGAGAGAACGTGTAAATCGGGGAAGGATCCCGGGACG